TATATATATATATATATTTATATCTAAGTATAAATCATAGCAACTCGTGTGGTCAATGTGGTTCTACACTTTTTATTTCACAGAGTTAGTGCAGGTTCGAAGGAATAAAAGGCGTAACACCAACATCCTATATCTATTCTTTTCTAATTAATTTTAACGAGCCAATTTTGAGTCAAACACGACAACTCCAAGATCAACACGAATCAAGCCTGAGCTCGCTCAAGCTCGACTCGTTTACAGCCCCTACCCACATCAATTCATACAACCCCTACAGTGAGAGGCCTTAGCATGTGCATGCCAAGAGAAGTGGGAAAGATTGGATAAGGAACTAAAATAACAGATAATTGTAGGAAAAAAACCTGAGGAGAGCAGTACGACCTGTACAATTTCCAGCCCATAAATGCTTCTGATGCCATGGATATGGCACATCACCTCCAGCTACTAGAGGAACTGAGCGGTGTCTTTCACTAAGCATGGTGTCATGGAGGAAGTGAGTGATGATGCTACCGCTAAGGATTAATGTGAGGAATACCGGTTCTTGGGAGATGAAGAGGAAATGCTAGTTGTAAGAAGAGTTCTACTGATAGAACCATAAAGGATCACTCGTGTTTGAGGAAAAATATTTTTGGCATCAGGTGTACTGTGAGAGGAAAAGTTTGATGCCTTATTATTGACGGAGGAAGCTGTGAGAATGTGGCTTCTACTTTCTTGGTGAAGAAGTTGGATGTTGTTACATAGAAACACTCTCAACCCTATTCTCTAAAGTGGTTGAAAAAAGGAAACGAGATATGAGTGGATCAACAATATGCCTGCTAGAGGTTTTCCATTAGGGATCAACTACAGGATCAGATGTGGTTCCCATGGACGCCAATTAACCACAACATTCAATTTCAAGACGCAAAACAACAAGTTCAAGAACACTAATGCATTCACGAAGGAGGGAATACACATCATTCTCTTACCCATCAAGGATTCTGGAAGAGCAGCTACACATGATTTCTCATATGCCACTTTTCTGCTGTCAGTTAGAAGCCCCAATGGCACTGGCCTTAGTCATCTTAAAGGGACTAAGGAGGAGACAAATCCATCGGAGAATGTCCAACCATTGTTATCTAAGTTTCAACAGGTGATGACGGAGAACCTAGTAGAGGGTTTGATGCCATCAAGAGTTATCCAACATGTCATAAATCTTATCCTAGAGTTAGGATTGCCAAACAGACCGACATATATGTTAAGGCTAGTACAGTATGAAGAGTTACAACGACAACTCCAAGATCTCATTACTATGGGATTGATGAGAAAGAGTACTAGTCCATGTTTTGTTCTCGCACTTAATGTGCATTGATAGTCGAGTTATCAACGAGATCACCTAAAATACTAGTTCCCTATCTATCGCCTGGATGACATATTGGATTATTTACATGGAGCTGTAGCCTTTTCCAAGATTGATCTATGCAGACAATATTATCAGATCATATTAAGGTTGGGGGATGAATGGAGGGCCGCCTTTAAGAACAATGATAAGTTGTACGAGTGAACCTTCATGACATTTGGAATGTCCAATGCACCTAACTTATTCATGAGACTAATTAATTTGGTTTACATCGAGAAATTCGTGATTGTTTACTTAGACAATTTTGTCTACAAGAGTTCAGAGGAGAAGCATTGTCAGCATCTGAAGCGATTTTTTTAGGTTCTAAGGTCGGAGAAACTATATGCACACCTAAAGAAATGTCACTTCATGATGACACATGTATATTTTTTGGATTATATTGTGTCCTGTGCAGACATGCAGATGCACCCAACGAAGATAGAAGCTATTGTGAGCTGGAGACCCCTGAGGTGGTTTTTTTCAAGTTAACGTCATGTTACAGACAGTTCATCAGGAGCATTAGCACCCTTAAAGCTCCCCTGACCGAGCTTTTGAAGTGAGATAAGTTTCAGTGCATAAAGAAATCCCATTCCAGTTTTGATTGACGCATGCCCGAATTTTAGATTTATTGGATTTCAGCTAGTTCTTCCAGGTGGAGTGTGACAGCTCTAATGTGGGAATCGGAGCAGTGTTGAGTCAAGGAGGAGACTCTATAGCCTTCTTCTGTGAGAAGTTGAACGAGTCCAGGAGAAAGTATTCAAACTATGACAGGAAATTTTGTGCCATTATGAGAGCTCTCCAACAATGGAGTTCTAACCGCTTACAAGCTAGTTCACTTTATTCACAGATCACAAGGTATTAAGGTTCTTGAGCAGCCAGAGCAAGTTGAAATGTAGACATGCTATGTAGGTTGGTTTTTTGGTGTTTCCAATTCGTGCTCAACTACAAGGAAGGAAGTTAGAGTCGAGTAGCAAATGCCTTGAGCCATCACAATTCTCTAATTACGTCTCTACAGTCTAGAGTTGTGGGATTTGAGTTAGTGAAGGAGTCATACAACACAAATGGGGATTTCAGGAAAATTTGGGAATAATGTAAGGAGAGGCTTGAAGGAACATACCATAGAGATGATAGTTATGTCTTCCATCAGAGCAAGTTGTGTGTGCCCAAATGTTCGTTGAGAGAGGCCATTGTTTTGTATAGTCACATTTAGGGGACTGACAGACCATTTCGACAAAGACAATACCCTCACACTAGTGAAGGAACGCTTTTTATTTGGCTCTGATTGATAAGAGATGTGGAGCGATACATTCGATAGTGTTGAACCTAAAGCACAGAGTTATACATGCCATTAACAGTACCAAAGGACCTTTAGGTTGATGTGAGCATGGATTCAATGATAGTAGTGGTTGACTAATTCTCAAAGAGGGCTCATTTTTTGCATTGTCACGGGATGCTAGACTCATCTTATATCGTTGATTTCAACATCTCCAATTATTTTTCCTAGCATTGTATCTAAAGGCGAGAAGGTGCTCCTGATATTATTCGTCATGAAGCGGTGTTTATCAATCTCTCCCTGCTTCCCATGCCATCATTCCAGCAGCCAACCTGCTGCTGCTGCCCTGCCTGCTGTGTTTCTATCTCCGGCCCGCCCTGTCTGTCGTTGCACAGCCGCCAGCTTCTGTGCTTGCTGCATTTCTGCCGCCAACCTTTTCGTTCTGCTATTTCCATGTTGCCGGCCTTCCTTGCAGGTTGTTGTTTCCCTGTCCCCAGCCTTGTCGCCACCCTGACTGCCTATCCCCTGCCATCCATTTCCTTGTTGCTGCCCTACCAATGGTCCATCATTTCTTGTCGGGAACTCGTCGACAGCCACCACTTATGTGTTATTTCCCCTTCCGATTGGTTTTTTGTAACTGTTTTTTTGAATTTCAACAATAATGTTATCGTTCCATTTATATTTGGATTAATTCCGGTATCGGGGCATGCATGTAAAAATTGAAGTTTAGGTGTTAGATATGTAAATAAATAGAAATTGAGTGGTATGTATGTAAATCTTCCTTTAATTTTCCCCCTGCTCATTTTAGTGTAAACTTTATCAGATTTGAACAATGAACACTAGCAATTTTCTTTGTGCTTATTTTTATATGTTACCAAATAGTCAGATTTTGTATTAGACTATTAATCATGCTGTCGTGGTTATCATTAACCGCACCTTGAAAGGAAGGCAAAATGATTACGGATATTAAACGCTGTTGCTGTGTTACTCCTACAGATGACATCGTATTTGATGAAGAAGTGTATATTACAAAGGAGTTTAATTCATAAATTGAATATTTATGAAAGAAATAGCCGTACTGTTGTTAGCATTTGAACCTAAATTATGGTATCTTTTATTCTTCATTACAAAAATAAATAGCTGTGCAACTGTTGTGATACTTATTTTCTATTATAGCATTATTATTTCCTTGAATTTTCAATCATTGTTGCATTTCTAAATTAAGCTTGAAAATATTTTTGAAATACCTATAGAAAATAATTGGTAATGAAGATTTTATTGATGTTAATAAGTGAAGCATGGATTTATACTTGTTATATGGAAGCATGTTTTTTTTGCTTATGTAATCTGTAGAGGTTGTATCGTTAGATAATATCGATTACTTATCGATGCACTTTATGGTATTATGACCAAGGGTATGCCATAAGTAGGTTAGGAATCTTATTTGTTTTCCCTCTTCATGGTTCTTCGCATATGTTTCCTTAAATTTTTTTAACTTTTTCTGATTCTCTTTTCCTAGGTCATCTACCGGATAAAACTTCCAGGTCCTGCTATTTTAGGTGAAGGCAAGCCAGAGAATCAAAATCACGCCATTATTTTCACTCGCGGTGAAGGTTTACAGACAATAGACATGAATCAGGTAGCCATTGATCTTTCTAAATCTCATTTTATGTCAGTATTTTGTGTTTACAATGGTATCTATTCACCTAGGATAATTATCTGGAAGAGGCGTTGAAAATGAGAAACCTACTTCAAGAGTTTTTAAAAAAGCATGATGGTGTGAGGTATCCTTCAATCCTTGGTGTGAGGGAGCACATATTCACCGGAAGGTAGGCTCGCAAGGTTCTGTTAAAATGATTTGTTTTTGTTAAATCTCCTGGAAATTTTAAATGTTTTTTTGCTGCTTCTTGCAGTGTTTCTTCTCTCGCATGGTTTATGTCAAATCAGGAAACAAGTTTTGTAACAATTGGTCAGCGCTTACTTGCAAATCCTCTTAGGTAAGATTTCCTCCTCAGCGGCATAACTGAAAGATCTAATAATGTGCATGGTTATATCTGGATAAAACGAGGAACAAATAGCTAATATTTTATCAAGCCCTGGGACTATTCTAATTTTTCATTCATTGTGGCAAATAGATTTTTTTATTAATTGATTTCTTTTCTTTAATATATCCTTATAATTGAGGAAATTCATGTCATTATTTTTTTTATGTTCCTTAATTGCATCATTTATACTCTTTTTGTGTCTTAATACTGTAAATATGAGAAAATAATAAGTTTTTGTATCCAATTTTTATTAAATAAAATGGTTTTACCTTTTTTGCAAGTTATAAATTATCCTTTGGTTTTAAGCAGAGAATTACATATTGAGATATAATGATACAATACAAGCGCATAGGATTTAGTTTTAATTATTTATTTTGTTAGTTAAATTATTTTTTGGTGGATAATTTCATCTTGATTTGATTTTGAAATTTATGATATGATTTAGATCAGATAAGTCTATCTTTAAATTTATATAATTAATTTTTTTAGCAGTAAATATCCTATTTCTATAAATTTTGATTCATCAATTGTGATTAATTATCAATGAATGAATTGAATCAAGATACTACCCTAATCTTGTCTCTTTTGTGAATTTGATTGTCTATTTTTTTTTTCTTTTGCGGAAGTTTTTCTCCTCTTCCTGACGTCCGACATCCCACGGAGTTACAGGAACATGGAATTCCTGATTCTTGATTGCGAGAATTTTGCTATACCATAGAATTGATGGTTTCTGATATCACAGACAGATTGAACCATGCAATCTCGTCTTGTTGCCCAATTCAGCGATATTATTTCTTTCTTTTATGGCTTATTTCCTGTTTTTGTATTCTTATCTAAGGTTTTTATTCAAGGGACTATATATATATATATATATATATGCTATTAGTTTTCTGGTTGAGCAAACTTTGACCCTTATTATTGTATTTGGAGATATTATCTATTTTATGCTCTACGAAGTGTTTTATCATTTTCTTTGCAAGTATTGTGTCTGTCTCCTGCTCAGGAATAGGGGTGAAATTTCCTCGACCTCTGTATTTCTCCATATTGTCGTCCGTCTAGCTAGGTCAGCTACCGATCGACACAGAATTCGCTGTCAAACAGTAAATTTTTCCTCTTACCCCTTACAAATGTCATTGACCTCCCATATTCCCATTCCCTTACTATCCCACAACCATCTTCGTACTAAAACTATTTCTTGAACACCTTCTAAGAGCCTTAGAACTATATCATCCGTTATCAAAGCCCGTAAATACTATATTTTTAGAGAAGTCTTTTTTCTCCCAATCCAAAATTTCAAAAAAGAAAATTCCCACAATGTTCAAATCATTCCTACTACAATTCCTAGCCCTAAACTTAAATTTCCAAATCTAATTTTCATATCTCCACTAAAACCAATTCCGACACCTACCACTAAAACACTAAATTTCGACCAACCTTTTATCTACAGCCCTATACTTATTGAAACATTTATTGGGAGAAAATGACTTAAATCCGCCTAGCATAAATCTGCAAAAAGGTGTTCAAGAACTTATTATGGAGGATTTGCAACGATAAATCTTTCAAGTTAAGCAAAGGGTTGTCGCCTTTGAGAGGAGACAACTTGGAGAGAGCATTCATAGCCACAATGGTGACTCGTCAGTTCGAGAAGAGGAAATGAATCCCTAATACCAGACAATTTCTAGTGATGAACTAATAACCTGACGATTGGCATGCAATATCAGAGAAGTCATGATTTTGGACTGAAGATTGACGTTTCATATTTTGACAATTGCATGTATTTAAACGAATTCGAGTGGCTCCAGACAGAGAATATTGTCTGATTACAAGCATGTCCAACCAAATAGAATGGTAAAGTTTATTGTCATTGAGAAAGTTCGTCTCCGTGGTGAAAATTTTGAAGCCCACGCTCACGTGAGAGAAAAATAAAATTATTTTTATGATCTATATAAGATGAAATGAGATTCAACATAAGTATCTACCAGCATATTACATACATGACTTGATATTGAGATTCAGTATTTATAATAGCAAAATCCCTTAGTAGCAGAGTAGACCATTGAGTTCGAGTAGTTGTTAAAATGTGAACTAGTGGAGCTCGAGAAGAATACAATAGGCCAATATCTTGGGGGATTGAGACCTTCCATTGAAAACATCATACAACTCCAACCTTATTGAATATTATAATATGGTCATACTTTAGCATGAAGGCGGAGAGATAACAACACAACAACAAGTTCATACCACACAAATGTTTTTATAACAAGAAATAGAGAACACAAGAACAAACTAGCCCCTAGTGTTAGGACAAAGGGGGAGAATCCGGTCCGACACGAGAGGGTGGTTTGAAGGGATAGAGATAGCTGGGGGAATTGTAGGAAGGTCGGTTGGCAACAAGTTAATCGGCTGCAGTGGGCTAGCGGTGGTAGTAGGGGCGTATGGGAGGCTATCATCCACAATAGTGGGGTTAGGTGAGGTTGGCGACATCGGCAACAAGTCGAGAAAGGGGTTAGTGGTCATAGCAGCAAGGAAGAGGGGCAAGGAGGTGGAAACAATATGCATGGGGGAGGAGGAGGCGCAAGGTAGGTCGAGGCGGTCGACATCTTGAAGCACCTCCTGTATTATGATACAATCCCAACAGGAGAAGAACAGGGTTGTCTAAATAGCTCCTTGTTCGTGAACAGTGTGTTCAGCTCATTAAAAAGCTCGTGTTTGATTCATTCACTAAGTTTATGAGTCAAACATCAATAATTTTTTTTTTTGTGTTCGACTCATTTTAGCTTGAAATAATTAAATTATATATATAATTAATGAATATTATTTTTAAATAATATAATTGACTAATATATATATATATATATATATATAATTGATTAGTATTTTTAAAATTATTAATTAAAAATAGAATAAAAATATATTAAATTATATTTAAATGATGTTTTAATATAAATAATAAGATTTAAATCTCCTCTGAACTCTTAATATTCTATGGATGTGTGGTTGAGGTTGTCAAACCACTTTTTATTCAGGAACAGCTTTGTATTCAAAGTATAAACGAGTCGAACACAAACAGTAGTATTTTTTAACAAATCGAACGTGAGTTGAGCATAGACTCACTCTTGTTCGGCACGTTTACACCCCTAGAAAAAAATGCCTAGTGGCTGAAACCTAAAATCAGCAAAAACTAAACCCTAGGCAGCGACAACATATATTTATAGTAGGCAAATTTTGGGGAGAGGAAAGGATGACAATTCCCTCCCCATTGAAGTGTTTGCCGGTTCAACATCACTCATGGGGGACCTACACAATCATGTTGTACTGGGTGATCCAGCTCTAGCCTTGTGTCAGGCTCACGTGGTTCGGGGAGCTTCGACTTCATCTGTCGAAGCTCCTGGGTCCTCGTAGTATGATGTCAAGTCTGCAATATTGAATGTAGTAAAAACATTGTAGTTCATTAGTAGGTCAATCTTGTAAGCGTTGTTATTCAACTTTCGGAGTATTTTGAAAGGTCCATTCGCTCGGGAATTGAACTTTTCGAATGGTCCCATCAGGAATCTTTTTTTCTTTAATCGGATCTACACTAGGTCCCCTTCTTGAAAAGTCACATTCTTTCTGAACTTTTTACATGTGCTTGGTACTTGCGGTTCTGTTTAGTAATTTCCTTCCTAACATCTTTGTTGAGCTTCTGAATCTCTTGTGCCCTCGTTCCTTAGCGTCCTCGCTAATTTGTGTTGTAAGTGAGATGGGTTCCAATTCAAGCAGAGTGAGTTGTTTGTGCCCGTACACAATCTCAAATGGGGTGTGTCCTTTAGTTTTGACTCACAGATCTGTTGTAAGCAAACATGGCATGTGTTAGAATCAGATCCCATAGCTTAATATTCTTCCCAACAAAGCATCTCAGCAGATTTCAAGGCTCCTATTTGCTACATCAGTCTAACTATTCGTCTTAGGGTGTGTTGCAGAACTTTGTTGAAGCTTAGTGCTTAGTTTTCCCAACAGAGTCCTCCAAAAGTGACTCGAAAACTTGAAGTCCCTGTCCAAAGTGATGGTCCTTAGTATCCCGTGCAGCCTCACAATCTTTCTGAAATACAAGTCGGTGATATACGATGCATCCAGTGTTCGGTGACAGGGTACGAAATGCACCATTTTTCAAGAATCAACCCACCATGACTGAGTGAATCCTTGTTCTGTTATGTCCTCAGTAGTTCCACCACAAAATTCATGCTAGCATCCACCCACGGTGCCTCTGGTACTGTTAATGGGGTGTATAACAGTAAATTTTGCCCTTTGGTTTTTTTCATAAGACAAATTCTGCATTGTTTGGGCTCATGAGTGCGAGTATTATTCATGCCAAAATGCCCTGCAAGTCCTCCACTCCGACTATCTTGAACAATGGACTATCTCTGCGAACATCTTGGAATGCATAACTTACTCTAGTAGAACAAATATTCATCAACTTGGTATTATTGCCTAAAAAGCTTCTCTTGACGCTACTCCCTGGTTTTCCCGAAATCCTTGTTTGTCTGGTAAAGCTCCTTCTTTACTACCCAAGCCCACAATGCGGGCCTGCATTGTAGTGATCAGCAAGTAATGGTGGCTCAATGCACGAACTGGAATGATGTTAAGAACTCCCCATAGTGGTGTGTCGACCGTTCAGTTTGCTCTGGTTGTCTAATAATTTCAAGGCTTTGTGGTCATTGAACAAACTCAACTCACTGATCCATAAGTAACGACTCAAGTGTTCAAGAGCTATCACAACATCATAAAACTCGTACGTCGAGTATTTCTATCACAACCCGCATCGGGGGCTTGAAATTGTTAAGGCGGGAACTGACGGTCGGACGGAAGAAACATTTCTAACAGTTTTATTTCATAATCAAATAAAATTCACCAAAGCACAAAAGAGTCATTCTAATTTATAAAACTTAATTTTAAAATATGGTTCATATTTAAAT